TCATATTAGCCGGAATTATTTGTGGGCAAAGACAGCTAAGGAGATATGGGATGTTATGAAAGAAACTTACTCCCAACCCCTTAATGTTGCCAGAGAGAGTGGGACTAGATACATTCTACCCTACGGACAGAGTGGGACCACAGCTGTGGTGCCCACATCAATGTTTTCTACAAATCCAAATTGGATTTATATTGGATTCAAACCAAATCTGGATTTATTATTAACAGAATAGCAAAATAACCACAGCTGTGACTAGATACATTCTACCCTACGGACAGAGTGGGACCACAGCTGTGGKGCCCACATCAATGTTYTCTACAAATCCAAATTGGATTTATATTGGATTCAAACCAAATCTGGATTGCAATTGAATATTGAATGGTATTAAAATATTATATATTATTAATAAAGTGAGCTAAAGATAACTTTGATATGAAATTTGAACCTATGACAAATGACAATTTAGTAAAAAAAAACATCCAAACCAACTTTACTAATAGATACAACATAAATTTTAAGTACATGGGAAGATATATATTCAAATTGAATTGAATTGGATTATATCAGATAGGATAGGAGTGGATCCATGTTTGATTCAATTGTAAATGAATTGAACTCGGACCACCCTTAACAGGACTGAATTTGAATTCAGATTCAGACAACCAGATACTGAATGCATCCCTAGGGTCATTACTATGTCTATTCTCCCATATTTCACCTTCATGCACATCCTCAACTGTGCTATGCTACCATACTCAATCTTAAATTTAAATACTGCATCAAACTTCAAACTTAGCAGATGGAAAGTTATGTCAAACATTTCAATATTTGCCAATCAATTAGCATTTTTTTGAAAATTCTGAATATATACGAGGAAAATGAATCAAAATTTACACTAGCACATGGAACCTCAACTCAACCTGGAAAAAATCAGGTCGGCATAGTACAGTGCAGCAACGAATCCTACCCTCTTTTTTTTTGCCTTCTACATCTTTTTCCTCATTATATCCCCCCCAAATTCTCTAATACCCCTCACTGGCGTGCTGATGATGAAACCTACTTTCACTTATTAATCTCCTGCTCTTTTGTTAAAGATGTTTGGGATTTCTTTCTTTTTTTGTTTGGGTGTAGGTCCCCCCCCACCCCGCGGCCGAATGTGCAACACTTGTTTGCCTCTACAACTTTCAGTTGGCCAAAGAAGGGAGGAAGCATCATGTGGAATGTGTAAGGTCTCCAATTTGTTCGTCTATTTGGGAAGAGAGGAACTCGAGGCATTTTCAGACAAGGAGAGAATTAAAGAAGCTATCAAAAGAATTGGTTTTCAATAGAGAAGTGCATTGGGCTAAATCCTTGGAATTTTTTTTAAGGATTTTCCAATGTAAGAATTCTTAAGAAGCTGGAAGGAAATTGCTTCCTCAGCCTCGATTAAGACTGCATTACTTTCCTCTAGGACACCCCCAACCAATTGATTTGTTAAGCTGAACTTTGATGGTAGTAATGGAAATCAAGGACCTTCAGGAATTGGAGGTATTTTTAGGGATGAGGAAGGGAAGTTTATTGCACTATTCTCAGGGCCAATTAGAGAAGGTGATTCCCTAAGGGATGAGCTAATGGAGGTCTTGGCAGGGGTTAAAAGAGCAAAAGAGATGAGTGTTCGCAAACTATCATAGAAGGTGACTGCAAATCAGTGGTGGCTTGGTTGAACAATGAGAAGAACAGCCTTTGGATCTACAGCAATGAAAGGAAAATGTTCAAGTGGTTAACACAGGATATTGAAGTTCAAGTAGTATGGATCAAGAGAAGTGCCAACTCCATAGCCTATGGGCTAGCAAAGCAAGGGGTGAACAGGGATGATATGTTTAAGGCTTGGTTGTAATTGATATTATCCTTGTTCTTTGTTGTGATTGTAATTATTTAGGGAGAGCTAAGAGATTTTATCTCTCCCAGTCTTTGTAATTGGATTTGTTTTTAATAAAGCTATCATTACTGATCAAAAAATAATTCTGTATCAGTATAGAATTGGAAAATTGAGGACGAAAAGACAAGTACAGATATTTAACTCCCAAAAGGAACAAAAAGAAAATACCAAGTTTACTCAGTTTCTCCTGCTAACTCAGGGGTGGGGTTGGCTGTGGCCCTTTGTGGGTTGTCAGCAGGTGTCCAAGTTCAGCTTTAGTTTCAGGGGAACTTGCCTTAACCTCTTCAAAATATTGCTTTATCTCATTTTTCCCATTTTCTAAAGAATTTTTGTTACTAACCAAAAACCTGAGCAACATCATTTTAAACAATGGGCCTGAACACTCAATAAATAGGCATTGAAACTTTTACTGTTGAATGAAATAGATAACTTGTCTAAGTTAATTGTTTAAATCATCCTACAAATGGGTTTATATTTACAAGCTACACCCAATTTGCATTTTTATGAACTGATGCTCTGATGAAGAACAAGATATACATACCAAGAACCCAACAGCTTGTCTTATGTGCTTAAGTTCATCCCATGATGAGCCTGCATACTGCAAAAGCACAAAACAAGTAAATCTTAGATACAAACAAGAAAAAACTTAAAAGATAGTAGTATACAAAGACAAATGAAGACAAAGAGTTACACTGTCACATGCACTTCTGTTACTTTTATCTCAGTGGAATTGATCAAGACAATTCTAAAGGTTGCATTGAGCTTAATAAAGGATGTTCCAGGATTCCAACCCATCATTAACCTGGCAGGTCAGACCAGTTACCTGGTCATAATCCCATTGACTCTAATTATCAAAAAATAAAAGCCATTGACTCAGTAAATTACTAGTCAACCCAACCCGGATGGTTAAATTGTTGATCCATCTGACTCGTTCAATGGGTTACTAGTTCTTTTTCTTTTGTTTTTAAATTTTCTTCTTATTGATGACATCAAAAAATGATTGACCCAGACAGTTGAAGCACTGACCTGTTGACCAGGGGGAAAAGTAGTACAACCTCCAGGCCAGGTTTTAAAACACTGGGTTGTTGGGCATTTGAGTTCAGCTTCTTTGAAGGATTGTGCTTGTGCTCTGAATTAGTGTACTTGGAAAAAAGGAACAATGGTATCTTCAATCAAGAATACCACGAGGATTGTCTTGTTATTTTATCACTCAAACATGCAGAAAGACTACAAAGAGTAAGTTGGTGATGAGAGACACTGATTCATAGCAGTTAAGGTAGGGGCTGACAAGAGTTCAAAAATTCACCACTCATCACTGTGGTTTAAAATGTAAGAGTGCAACTTGGGTTGGCTTAGGTTGAAGATTTGTTATATTTTGAATGGTCCTGGCCCAAGGGCCCAAGCACGATGCTGTGTATATTCTCCAACTCGGGTATCCAACTTGAACCCCTGTTAAAATGTCAACATATTTCCTATTGTTTCCATTATCATAGGTAACAATAATAAATCATATTGGAATTGATATATATTCCCAAGGGTAAACTACCAATGCTAAACAGAGTACACAACATTAAGTACAAAGACCTTTTTGCCCCTCTTTATGTATGGGACACTCTACTTAACCTCAGACACAATAGACAAAACAACTTTAAGTAAAGCATTGTGAAATGACTCAAATACCCCTGGACTGTCAACTCTAACACTCCCCCTCAAGCGGGTGAGTATATATCATATAATCCCAGCTTGTTACCACTTTTCCCCGACTCAACCCTTTTGTAAACAAATCAGCCCACTGACTCCCTGTGTTCACATGCATCACTATATTTATCACTCCACCGAGCGCTTTTTCTCTTACAAAATGACAGTCAACTTCTGTGTTTTGTTCTCGTGGAAGACCAGATTAGATGAGATGTGAACAGTGTGAACTGCAGCTTGGTTGTCACAATACAACTTCATAGGATTGTTGAGTGTATACCCAATCTCCTGGAGGAGGTTCTTTAACCACACTAACTCATAAGGTGTCTACACCATGGCTCTATATTCAGCTTCAGAACTACTCACTGCAACTGTTTGTTTCTTGCTCTTCCATGGTACCAGATTTCCTCCAAGAAAAGTACAATACCCTATAGAAGTAGACATTCTATCAAACATTGAGCTTGCCCAATTTACATCTGTATAACCCTCTATTTCAAGACTTCCTCCTGATTTGTATAAAAATCCACAACCTAGAGCCCCTTTCAAATACCGTACAATTCTCATAATTGCATCCCAATAGGGAACTCGAGGCTTCTGCATAAATTGGCCAACCACACATACTACATAGGAAATGTCAAGCCGGGTAATAGTCAAATAATTCAACTTACCCACTAACCTCATGTACCTCCCAGGATCATCAAATTCTTCACCCGCATCAGTAGTTAGTTTGATATTGGGATCCATGGGTGTTTCAGTTGATTTAGTACCCAACAATCCTATCTCTTCTAACAAGTCAAGTCCATAATTCCTCTGACACAATTTGATGCCATGCTTCGACTTTGCAACTTCTATTCCCATAAAGTATTTCAGTTTGCTGAGATCTTTTGTTCGAAAGTAATCATGTAGAAAAGCCTTCAATTATCAATCCCAACTTATCACTACCTCTAATGACAATGTCATCTACATAAACCACCAATAAAACCTTTCCAACTTCAAAATCATAGTTGAACACTGAATGATCAACCTGACATTGCTTCATATCGAAATCTTTATCTACCCCACTGAATCTATGAAACGAAGCATAAACCACCAATAAAACCTTTCCAACTTCAAAATCATAGTTGAACACTGAATGATCAACCTGACATTGCTTCATATCGAAATCTTTATCTACCCCACTGAATCTATGAAACGAAGCATGCAGAGATTGTTTCAGTCCATAAATTGCCTTATTAAATCTACACACCTTACCATCCTCCCTCTGAGCAACAAACCCTAGTGGTTGCTTCATATACACTTCTTCACCAAGATCACCATGTAGAAAGGAATTCTTAATGTCAAGTTGAAACAAGGGCCAGTCATACATAGCTGGTAAGGATATCAATACCCAAACTAAGCCAATCTTGGCAACAAGGGAGAATGTCTTTGTATAATCCACTCCATACAACTGAGAGTACCCCTTGGCAACCAACCTACACTTCAAGCGCTCTATGCTTCCATCTAGTAAGTATTTGACGGTATACATCCATTTACAACCAACAACATGCTTTCCAGGAGGAAGAGTGGTGAGCTCTCACATGTGATTTTGAGCAAGTGTTAAGAGTTCCTCTTCCCTTGCTTGGCACCACTCTGGGAGGTAATAGCTTCCTAGACATTCTTAGGAATGGAAACAATAGACAAATGGGAAACAAACTAACAGTAGGAAGCAGAAAGATAAAAGACAAAAACATAGCTAGAAATAGGATGCAAAGTACAACTACATTTACCTTTGCGTGAAGCAATGGGAAGATCAAGGTCAGACTAAGAGGGCACCACAGGGATAGGAACGACTGCCAGATCTGTTGACGGAGAAGAAACTAGAGGAGGAGCCGATATCGATCAATGCATATACACGTGATTGATCAGTGGTCACTTAGTAGGAACCTACAATGGAGGAGGTGAAAACTTGGGAACAACAGAAATAAGAGGAATTGGGTCATCAACAGGAACTGGAAGTAGGAGAATAGGGGATGAAGAAGAAACACCATTACTTGTAAAGAACAAAACTGACTCAAAGAAGGTGACGTCAGGGCACACAAAGGAATGTTGAGAAATAAGAGGAATTGGGTCATCAACAGGAACTGGAAGTAGGAGCATAGGGGATGAAGAAGAAACATCATTACTTGTAAAGAACAAAACAAACACAAAGAAGGTGACATCAGGGCACACAAAGGAATGTTGAGAAGAAGGATTATAACACTTGTAGCCCTTATGTGTTCGAGGATTTTGGGAAAAGCATACACACCCAAAAACCCTGGGAATAAGAGGAAAGGAAGTTATAGAACAATTGAGAGATTTGGTTAATTTTCTAACAGACATAAGGCTGAAACGGAATTTGGGCACATACAGAACTAAAGATAAAGACAATGATGCAATGTCTACATTGCCAACACCACAAATGGGAGAGGTAGAACCATTAGGTAAAGTAATTGTTTGTGATGTAGAAGACAGAGAAATGGAGGAAAACAAACCTGGAGTCCCAGTCATATGATCGGAAGCTCCAAAAATCGATAATTTAAGGTGAAGGATTGGAAGTCGGACAAGCCATACTTGAGTGGGCAAGAGTAGACGTATTTTATTGGGAGGTAGCCTAAAGAAACCTTTCATACTCATCACATAGAATACTCATCAACTCCTTCCCATAGGCACTAGTAGATGTAGAAGGTGCTTGGTCAATCTGCTAGGCATCAACTGCTTCACCACCACTTCCTGCAGCCAAGGTTCAAAGTATTGATATGTATTGGCCGATACGTATCATGCTGGTGGCTTCCCGATACGCCCCTATAGGGGTTGTATCGGGTCAGCCACTGGTTCATAGGATAGTCGAGTTTAAAACTGACCCCTCTGAACTGATTTCAAAAAAAATAAGTAAAACATAAAAAAAGTACCAACACAGGTCGATATGCCCTACTGGCGTATCGGCCCATGTCGATATTTAGAACCTTGCCTACTGCTATATGATTGGCCCATGTAGATCATAGCAAAATGTGTCCTTCCATGCCACAATGTGTACTCTTCCTACGCCCATAACTACGACCCCCCCCCTAAGTCTTGATCTCCACTATGTCCACCACCACAATGCAACATAGGTTCACCACAGCCTCCCTGAAACTCCACGACCTCCACTATTTCCACGGCCTCCCCCTCTCATCACTGCAAAGGCTGATCTATATGAAACTATGGAACTCTCCGAAGAGCCAATAGTAATCCTACGGAATCATGCAAACACCTCCTCAAGAGAGGGAAGAGTAGAGCCTCCTAGAATTTGAGCTCTAATTGGTTCATACTCAACCTTCAAGCCCACTAAAAATCGGGTCACATCCAGTTACTCCCTTTGTTGTTGCTGAATTTTAACATCTGATGTCAAAGGATGATGGATATTGAGCTCATTCCGAGGGTTCCTCATACTAGCATAATACTCCTCAAGTGTTTGATTTCCTTGTTCTAGATTAAAATATTCTTGATAGAGTTGAAATACTCTTGTAGTATTTATTATCTTGTCCAAAAGAAAGCTTATTGACATGATCCCATATCTTCTTAGCTATATCAAGAAACATAAAATTCAAACTGATTTTGGGTTCCATGCTGTTCCACAACCACATCATAATCTGTGCATCTTCATGTTCCCAATCATTATATCCTTGGAAATCAGCTGAGGGTTTTTCTTCTTTCACATGTTTCACCTTCTTCTTAGCTCTAAGAAAGACCTCCACTGACTTGGCCCATGGCACATAATTCTCACCATTCAGCTTGATAGATGTCATTTGTACATTCAGAAAATCAGGGAGAACCATAACACTGGATTTCTTATCACTGCTCTCCTAGGATTGTCATGGATATATAAAAAGAAAGGAAACTTCACTTCACAACACCACACTACACCACAACCAATCAACTAGAATTGAAACATGTGCTGTAACTGATCTCAGCACTGTTCTCATGCCTATCACCCACTTCTATCAGCAAGAAACACACAGAAACTCAGAAACATGTGCTGTAACATATTTCAGCACTGTTTTCACATCTATCACTCACTTCCATTAATAAGAAACACACAGAAAATCACTTCTTATGCATACCTGCTAATAGGCCAACCACAATAAGTCCAGAAATCCACAACTATGCCCTTTCAGATCATTGAAACACCCCACACAAACTGTTGCACATAGACTGATCACTGACAGTCCCTCTTCGATACACCGATTAGAAGGTTTCTCTAAAACTCCACTGAAACAGCACTTTCTACTGCAACTGGAGGCAACAAAAAATGACCACTCCTTTTTGTTCTTTTTTTGATCCTCTAGGTAATCACCAAGAAAACTCAGAATAGATGTGCTGGAAGGCACTGGAAAAGGTTAAAAAAAAGGGAAGGAAATCAGGGCTCTGATACCATGTTAGTGGTTCAATCAGATCTGATTTGCTTCCTGAAATAAAAAGAAAGGGAGAAGAAGAGAGAAAGAGAGAGAGGAGAGAAGATGAAGAGATGGTTCGGCTGGTCTCCAAGAGAGAAAAAATCACACTCAGCCGACCAGAATTAATATATAGATTTGCAACATTAAGCACAAAGACCTTTGTGCCCTTCTTTATGTATGGGACACTCTACTTAACCTCAGACACAATAGACAAAACATCTTTAAGTAAAGCACTACGAAATGACTCAAATACCCCTGGACTGTCAACTCTAACACTTTATTATGTAATTTAACTCTTAAAGTCTACTGGAAAACTTCACAGTATATCATTTCATCTATTAACCCCAATTTCCTGGCTCTATTTAATGGTTTGGAACCAGATAACAATCTAAAAGGGTGTATTTGTTCTTCTTTTATCATTTCAAAAAATCAAGGTTCAAAATATCGATACACCCCAATACGCCGGAAGGGATGTATTGATACTTTGAACAGTGCACATTTTATATTTCACATTTTTTTGTTTTTTTTTTTTCAAATTTTCAGAGAGTAGCTCATTTTTTATATTATTTAATTTAATTACTAAAAAAAAATTTCTTAAAACCCCTTTAAATAGGCATATCAGTCTACAAAAGATATGATACGGTACGCCCTGTATTGGGCAATATCGTATCGAAGCTTCAAACCTTGCATAAAATATCATTGTGTATTTCTGCATATTTGTTTCCAACATATCTATTATTTTTACAATATTTCCATGCAACATTTCCTGCCAATATGTGGATAAGCACTCCACCAACAATGACATTTTAAACCTTGCTTATAACAGATTCAAGGATCATCTCTTTGAAATGACTTGAATGCACTAATGCATAGTATTTAAGGTTAAGGTAGACCTTGCACCATCTTATATTTCAGGGATTATTTTCCTTTTCCACAGCTTTTGAATAGAATAAAAGGAAGGAAACCAAATAAACAAGGGAAATGGAAGTACCTCTTCTTTTGCTTGGCAACACCATAGCTCCAATTCGGCTAACCCAGCTTTCACATACTCACCATTGCTAAATGTACAGCACTCTCGGCGAAGTAGAAGGCTGCAGAAACATAAATCAACAACCATAATGACCATGATCTTTTCACTAGTGAAAATTTATTGTCATTGACAAGAATGAAAGTCACCACTTGACCATATAAGATGTTAAGCCAAAAGTCAGAACCAAAGCAGCAAAGTACCTATTAAACATCTGGACATTTATATATGAGAAAATCTGAGCAAACATCTTTTGAATGAGAACTTGAGAAACCTGAAATAAGGGCAGCAGTAAAAACTCTGTTCGTCAAGAGGAGTAGAGGAAGAAGAAAAATAACAGAAACAAAGTAGATAAATAAAATCCTTACAAAGTTTTCTTTCAAAATATTGAGAAGTGCATTGAGGGTCTCAATAATGCTTTGCCAGTGACTAGTTGGAGAGTTATTGCCAAACGATCTCCCAGACGACCGCAGCACATTTCCCCTTGATGTTCTTGGTGCCTAATATTTCAAGCAAGCACATTAATAGTGTACAAATTGCTATATATAAACATAATCAATAATCTAGAGATGAAGAAAAACATCCATAAGGTTCTTGCGGAGATTTCAATAATTCATGATACAGATTCATGAATACTGAAGCAAGTTCATGTGAATACTGAATACACAGCTTTAAGACCTAGAAGTATGCTTTCTACCCAAGTTTGAGATTTCCATGTACTAGATATTCACCACAATCCTCAAAATAAATTTCCTTGAAAGAAAAATTTTATAGTCAACAGAAACATAGGGGCCATTTGATTAAGGCTGAAATGGCTGAATTGAATGGCTTATTGTTATGTCTTTTAGTGGATAAATTAATTAAAATAATACAATATTGGAGGGAATAATGACTGACCCAACTCAGGTTCAGCCAATTAAGGAGCTCAAACGTCCTCAATAACTTTTCACTAAAAAAACATAACAAACCATTCAATTCTGCCACTTCCATCTGTTACCAAACAGCCCCTTATATATCTGAAATCTTGGGTTGATGATTCAAGTAACTCCCCAAGAAAAGGAAAAAAATACAAAAAAAAAAACGATTAGAATATTAAACCATGCAAACTCAAAGTAAAAAAATAAAATAAAAATAAAACCTGGATGCATAGGGAAAGTAGTGATGCCAAATCCTTCTTCACATTATCTCTTATAATTCCATATATCTTCTCCACATATGCTGTCAGCTGCTGCTTGAACAGCAATGCTGGGTACTTCGCCTCAACTTGACGTACAACTTCAAGCCCTACAGCAAAGTTGGCAGAAGAAGGAGACGAGCGGAAACCCTGATGAAAATCAAGACAACAATACATAATGTAAGAAAAGATCTACAAATCAGGTATCTGATTCTCCACAAGTTAGCATCATTAGATACCCATTTTAGTGCATGCTAAAAACATAATAAGAAACTGAAAGAATTAAATATATCCAATTACTTGGGTCATTCTCCCAAATAATGAAGTTGCAGGGGGAGGCCTCCGATGTGGAGTTGCGGTAGCTGTACCAGCAGCTTTTAGACTCCGTTGTAACAGGAACAACAGGGAAGATGTATTTGACAACCAGTAAGCCATATGCTCATTGTTATCTTGATTCTGCAAACAAAAGAAAACATAAGAAAAAGGCCATGTCAACTAAAAGAAGATGGCATCCTAATTTCAAATCTCAGAGACCATTAAAGTTTGTTTGCAACATAGGAAATCTAGAAGTTAAAGAAAGAGAATCGTGAAAGATGAAGGAAGCTTAAATCTTGCAATAAAAGATTGGAGGGATAAAAGGAGAAAAAAGGAACAGATTCTATCATTTATTGGGAGCTTAAATCTAGCCTTGCATTGTTTGTCTAACATTCTAGAATTTCATGTCACTTACAATAACCATGCCCATGCACAATGCAAAAACTGGCTAGAGAATAAGTGCAAGAAGCACAGTTGGCCCAAGTGTCTGTCTCATTTTACAGGAAATATGATTTGAACTCCAATTACAAAAAAAGAAAGTCCCTAAAGTTGGATAAATGGGAAAAAAAAACTAATTAGAGAAAAGGAGAAGTTCTATCTTCACGTGAACCAAAACAGAGACAAGGATACACAGGAGGATCTTGAAGAAAATAGGATTCTACAAGACAAAAGGCTACAAGAATATATTAAAAAAAGAATGCAAAGCAAAAGAATCTCAACAGATATCCTGTCCACCTATGTCCCTTATGGTTCAAATCGTTAGAACAGACTTGTTTCATGCCATCCACCCTGAATTCGAAAATCACAGAAGAAGACAATAATTGAAAGGAGCCATATATGTGTGTATATTTATGTGCATATCCATGTATAATGTCACCAACTCCATTAAAAACCTTTTCAACAGCAAAGAATCATTTGACACAGAAAACAAATATGATACATGAAGGACCCAACCAACAATGGGCAGACAGAAGGCCATAATTGTGTCTGAGTGTACAAAACACTCCAAGCACCTCTATTGCAGTTAACTTGAAGAACATACCATATATTTTCATGAATATGTTTCTCTAGATTGCGTAAGTATTTGGTTAGTCTCTCTCCTAATAGAAAGAGAGACAACCTTCTTGAATGTTATATTATCAAATTCTGATGATAGAGTGATGCATCAAACAAATAAAAGATTTGCTATCCTGAACTTCCAGTACCTCTATTGCAGAACCTATCATCTGAATCAGACGATCAAAAACACTTGTTCTTTCAGCTTCAAACGATTTCCAATGGAGCAGACATTTATATATAGTAAATGCTGCAACTGGTTTTCCTTGACTGAACCCAAGATCTTGCATCACACATTTGATAAGAGCATCAACACTCTCCTGTACCAAAAATAGGGCCTTAAATAATATTAGATATCAATTACAATTTACAATAATAGAAACAGAAGAGAGCAAGAGGGAAACTATTAAGATCGATTAATTAAATTCCAGGACTCTAACAAGCACATACATGTTGTCTTTCAATGTGGGATCTCCTCGACTTGTTGTCAGTTTCTGTTCCAAACTTTTTTACAGGTGTTGCACCCCATGCTTCCTGCAAAAACAACTTCTTGTTATATAATCACATATATACAACAAGCATATTTCAAAAAAGAGGCTCAACAGATGCCCTGGATAAAGAGACAATAATATAATACAAGAATAAACCATGTAAATTACGTTGGCTCTTGTCTCTTCACTCTCGTGGTGACCATTTTCTAGAATCTGCAAGTAAAAACATGCAAAGATAAGCATCATCTAGGAAGGAGACCAGAACAACATGATTTATCTGTTTTCAGCAGGCAGATTTACCTTGGTTGTTGGAATGTCTAAATGTTCTGACATACGTTTTACTGGTGAGTTTAACAAGGACTGTTGCCGGATAATTTGGTGGTCAGATTCCATGTCAGAGAGTTTCTCCTCAAGTCTGTGAATTAAGATTAGAATAAAGGTGTAAATATATAGTTACAAGTATTAGAAACAGATGAGAATTTAGAAAATAAGTGTAGTCACATTAGAGAATAAAGTTGGGATGGCCAAATGGCAGAAAGTTGTCTCCCAGTTGGCCAGATCTCTTTGTGTATTCAAGTTCTAAAGGTAAATGAAAATTACAATGTTGATCAGTATAAATTGACCAAGCTATCCTCACCTAAGTTATAAAACTACATAGACATAAATGACAAATACCCTCCCAAACAATAGATTACAAAAACAATAATGGATCATCTAGACTCTCTACACTTTCCCCTCAAGTTAAAGAGTACAAATCTATAATCCCAACCTGGTAGTAAAGAAGTCCACTCTTGCCTGCTCAATGCTTTGATAAATAGGTCAGCAAGTTGATCCTCTGACTTGGCATAGGTTGTATGCTTTGGTAAATAGTTCAGAGTGCATACCATCACTCTGAACTTTCTCACCACAAAGTGATAATCCACTTTAACATGCCTTTTACCTCATGAAACATTGGATTGGATACAAGATGCATTTGTGAAAACATCGGGAATCCTATCTCCTGAAGTATATGCTTCAACCACATCAATTAATATATGGCATGCGTCAAGCATGCAAGTGGTATGTGACTCCTAGTCTTCCCTACCCTTTAAGAAGATGAATCCTTTAGAAGTTGAAAACAAGCATGTTGCTGAATTCAGACAGGTTCCACGAGCCTCTGTAGACTCTCTACTGGCTGTGACCACAGTCAAGCTAGATGGAACTAATTATCTGGCTTGGTCACAATCAGTAAAAATTCATATCTGCAGTAGATGACTAGATATCATAATTTTCATGAAAGACTGAATCAGCCAACACTAATGTGTCTCACAAATTACATAAAATTCTCACTTTGGGTTTCATTAACAGTCCATCACCATAGTCTTCTTGATCCCTCCTTGTATTTGAACAAATAGAGGGAATCTGATCACTCATAAAGACAAGGAAAAACATACTGGAAATATCCCTCTTGATATTTCCCAAGTAGAGAATAGAAAAGGGACTAGAAATGAAAGAAAGAACCGAGAAAATTATACAGAACAGGAAACCTGCCTTTGGTACCACGTAAATATATATAGTTACAAGTATTAGAAGCGGATGAGAATTTAGAGGAGAAAATGTAGTCATGTAGAGAAGAAAGAATGGACTTCTGCCAAACAGAAGAAAAAACAATCCCCCAGTTGGCCAAATCTCTTTATATATGTAAATTCAAAAGACGTAAAAATTACAATGTTGACATCTTGACACCACAAACAATTTATCAAAAAAAAGATACCACGTAAATATATAGTTACAAGTATTAAGCAGATGAAACATAGAGGAGAAAGTGTAGTCATATATAGAAGAATAGACTGTCAAACAGAAGAAAAAATAATCTCCCAGTTAGCCAAATCTCTTTATGTATGTAAATTCAAAAAGGCAAATAAAAATTACAACATTGACCCCTTTAAGTAATAAAAGTAGACTTACGAGTCTACTCTCACTCAAGTTATAAACTAGATAGAAATAAAACCCCTGTTTAAAACATGACCCAAACAATGAAAGAGAAAAATAATGATGGACCAGCCAAACTATCCTCTCAAAAACGGATAAGAAAATCAACAGAAATCCATCAAATTTCCATATTCACATTGTCAAAGAGATATAGCTTGAATTTTTTTATTTATCTTCAAAAAAAAACAAAAGAGATCTAGCTTGAAACGTGAACAAAATTAGATATAACTTGATCAGTATAACAACCTTTGCATTGCAGTCTTCAATTGAACCATCTTTGATTCTGCATCCAAAGCTTGCTTTAACCTTTCTTCACTAACTCTATTTGTTTCTTCATATTTTCTCTCTGTTTCRTCAATTTTCTTTTCCAGGGAACTCACCAAGGCCTGCATTATGTCACAAAATGATTAACCAGAACAAACCTGAAGTGTTGATTTACAAAGAACTCCATTCTCATGATTTTCTTATTTGTCATCTTCTCTTTTTAAAAACATGTTACAGAAAGAAGCTTTCATGAGAAAATTCACACTAAAGTACATGAATATGAATTAGTTCATCTAACATCTTAGGGTTACAGCAACGTTACCTTGAGTTTTTCATTTTCAGCAGTAACTTTGTCCATCATTGTATGATCAATAACTGGAACTTCTTGTATGATGGGAACTTTCTCTGCTGCCCTCTTTGCAGYCTCCCGTTCCTTAACCAGCATTGCTTTTGCTTCATTAAATTGAAGTTGCAACTCTTGCAAAGCAGATTGTAGTTTTGCATTTTCTTGTGTTTTTGCTTCTTCAATGTCCGCCTAAGGATACAAAAGGGATGTGTAAACAACTATGAAAACTAAATACCATAACTGTGATATGGTTAAGAAAGATACAAAATCAGAAAAAATTTATTGAGCTTGGTGATTATGGTGATTCTACTAGGGCAGAGATCAGCTAGCCAAGGCTATCTACCTTTGAGGAGTATTTGGATCAGGACTATATATCTTCTAATAAATACATTAATAATAATAGTTATTTGTTACTGATCCAAAAATTAATTGGATTATTGGAAGCACATATTGGAAGAAACTGAGGCCCTCTCTATTTCTCCTTTTCTGAGGAGAGGGGGGAATGCAACAGATGAACCCAACCACACAGAAAGAACATATCAGATAGAAAGTTACAATAAGTAGCAAGCCCTCTTAACATAAAAATAAGAGTTTGAGATATCGGTTTCCATTCATAATTGGTTTTACCAGTAACCAGACTTTAAGAATTAAATTACCAAATTAGCCTTAGCACTTCATTGGAAAAAGGAACACAAGCATCCTAACCCATCTCCCTAACAAAGTTCACATTGTAAATCATTCTCCTTCACTGTCCATTCTTGTTAGAGAAAAGGTAAATTTCGTTCAGAAAAGGGAAGAATGTACATGAGATGTACAGATAGGGGCTCAACAACAAAAAAAAAAAAAAAAACAAAAATGAAAGCCCACACAAGAAACAGCCCTTCCTGATCCAGATTTAGCCAGAGATTCTCATTCACAAGAGTACAGGAAACAAGGGTATCTTTGTCATGGTCCAGTCGAAACACATTAGGCTCAGTTTGGAAAGAGTACAAATACAAATATGTACAGAGAAAATACATACAATATAATACAAAATACAAGGTTTTGCACTTTACAAATTTGTATTTATACTCTTTACAAACTAAGCCTTAGGAAAAAGGCTTTGGTACTGTTCTTATTCACAGTATGGTAATTCAGCAGTAGGTAGAGTGCAAACTCTGTTCTTATTCATAGTATGGTAATTCAGCAGTGAATTCATCTCAAGATCCTTCCCCCCCCCCATTTCTGATCTCGAAGAGGATATTATTAACTCCTTCCATGACCATTTGGAGCAATACAGTAGGGCTCTTAGACATGCAGATACTGGAAAGTATACTCTTGACCATACATAGCATACAAGAAAGAATGTGAACCAAAATACCCCTGTGGTACATAGCTGACATATTTACATCAGTTGGCAACAGGCAATATTGATTCGGCATCAACGTTGACATCAGTAGGTTACATCAGCATTAACATTGGCATTGACAGGTTTTAACAACAGGTTTCGTTGTCCACTCGTTCTCAAAGTTGGTGGCTGTAGAGAAGATGGGCCGAATGGCCCATAGGCTGTTTATCTTTTTTATCCTTTATGTTCTTTGATGTAATGGGCCTTAATCTGGGCTCTTATTCTTTCTTATGTTATGTTTTTAATTTTCTGCCCAACTAGGGGCCTCTCTGTAAATTACTAAAGTTTAACTTAATGAAATGAAATTAGGGGTGTAAGAGGAGATTATGTTCGAAAATCTCTCTCTGAACCCTAGTTGCCGCCACCTTCTTCTTCCTCTTCTCTCTTCTTTAAACCTGATTTCTGCTACTTTCTTTTGATTTTCTGCAACTTTTTAAACAGTCCTTTCTTTTCAAAATGCTGTTTTTCTTCTCGGTATCAGAGCAGGCTCGACTTCTTTTTTTTTCACCTCTTTTTTCCCATACACAGTGTGTATGGAGAGAAGGGGACTAGTTTTGTCATCCTCCTGAGGGATTCAAGTGTGTTGCCCGAAACCCTAATTTTCTGGAGAAATCTCATTGCAGGCCCCGCAAGGAGTTTGACCTGGGTGCTCAGTGACCGAAATTCTCATCCTTCATCTTGAAAATCGATTCAAGTGGATTGGTGTTCTGTGAAGTCTAAAAGGAGCAGCTGAGATTTCTCTGTTTCCCCCGATTTTCGGGTGTGACGCAGGTAGCAGGTACAGCTGTATAGAGGTTGACTCACAACACAGATTTTCTTCTGTCTTCATTTGTTGTTATTCGAAGTTGTTAGAAGTTATTTTCAAAGTATTTTAAGAAGATGAATCCTTCAGAAGTTGAAAACAAGCATGTTGCTGAATTCAGACAGATTACGCGAGCCTCTGTAGACTCTCTACTGGTTGTGACCACAGTCAAGGTAGATGGAACTAATTATCTGGCTTGGTCACAATCAGTAAAAGTTCATATCTGCAGTAGAGCCAAATGAGGTTTTATCTTCGGGAGCAAAAAGGCTCCCTCGAAAGATGATACATTATATGAAAAATGGATTCAAAAAAACTATATTGTTATTGGATGGCTTGTGAACTCAATGCAACCTCTGATTAATCAACACTATTTGTGGATGAATTCAGCAAAGGAAGTTTGGGATAGTGTTGCTGAAACCTATGCCCAGAAATTAATGTAGCCAGGGCTTACAAGCTGAGGAGTGATGTGAAGAATTTGAGACAGGGGGAGAAACCTTTAGCTGTTTATTTCTCAATATTGAAGTCTCTATGGCAAGAAATTGATTTGTTAGAAGCTGTAGCCTGGGACACCACTAATGCTACTAAGACCTGCAGGAAACTTGTTGAGAGAAACAGGGTGTTTGAGTTATTGACAGGGCTGAATCCAGAGTATGACATCACAAAGCAAAACATCTTATCCAAGGATAGTATTTCACTGTCTCAAGCCTATGCCTTGGTAAGTAGTGAAGAAAGCAAGAGACTTATCCAGGTTCAAGGGGCTGGTCTAAATGATCACTTTGCTAATATGGAAGTGAAACCCAAGGGAGTTATAGGGACTCCAAGTAGCTCAAGGAAGAAAGAAATTATTTGTAAGTACTATAAAAAACCAAAACACACTAAAGAAAAGTGTTGGAAATTGCATCCTGAGCTTCTTCCTCTTCGGTTTCAAAAGAAATCTGATAATATGAAGGCAGTGAGTGCCAATATTGCTACTGGTCCAAATAGTGACAGATGCCTAACTGAAGAGATAACTGTGAGCAGTTAGCAGCTATGAAGGCAGAGTATGAGAAATTTGGAAGGATAATCAGTCACCTAGAGGGTGTGGCCTCTTCTTCCAACCCTCTAGGAAATTCAACATCTTCTGCATTTGCTCATTTAGGTATACGGGCTTCTACCAATCATGCAACTATTTCAGGTAATTGTAGGATCCCTTGGATTATTGATTATGGTTCTTCTGATCATATCACCAGCATTTCCACTTTGTTTGTTTCTTATGATTTACTTCCTGGCCATGACAAAATCACCCTAGCCGATGGCTCTCTTGCCCCTATCTCCGACAAGGGAACCATCAAGGCTACAGATTCCTTGGTACTTCCTTCCGCTTCATTTACCCAAGCTAAATACAAATTTGTTATCTTTAAGTAGCCTAACTAAGTCCTTGAACTCCTGTGTAACCTTCTTTCCTTCCTACTATGTTTTTTAGGATCTGGAATCTCAGAAAGTGATTGGGAGTGGCCATGAGGCAAATGGAATATATCTATTGGACACTCTTGGATAGAGCCATGGACAACCTGGAAAAGCTATTTTTGGGTCTACATCTACAGAGTCCATCAGTCGAGTCACGTTATGTCATTTTCGTTTGGGTCATCTTTCTTTTTCTGCACTAAGTCATTTATTCCCAGAACTGTTTAAGGGAATTAGTCTGTCCACTCTTCATTGTGAGTCATGTGAGTTGTCAAAACATTGTAGAAGCAGTTATCCTTTGAGTAATAAAAGATCTTCTTCTCCATTCCATATTGTGCACTCTGATGTGTGGGGGCCTTACCACGCTTACCTTCTATGGGTGGCTACAAATATTTTATCTTGTTCATTGATGATTTTTCAATGTTCACTTGGATATTTTTTATGAAGTCCCGTGATGAAGTTCCCAGACTTGTGAGGCAATTCCATGAATTTGTTCTAACCCAATTTGATACCAGAATTAAAATTTTTAGATCCAACAATGCAAAAGAATATTTTGAGAAAAACCTGACCTGCTATCTCACTGATTTGGGGGTTATTCACCAAAGCTCTTATGTTAGGACCCCAGAACATAATGGAGTTGCTGAAAGAAAAAATCACCAAAGCTCCTATTTGCTTCACATGTCCCTACAAAATTTTGGGGTGATGTTGTTCTCACTGCAACCTACCTAATCGACCGTATGCCATCCAAGGTTTTGAGGTTCAAGTCTCCCTTCAGTCTTCTTCATCCGGGCAAGGACCTTTTTCCTATCCCACCCTGTGTCTTTTGTTGCACTTGTTATGTACATATCCCAAGTGTGCAGAGACATAAATTTGAACCAAAAGCCCATAAGTGTATCTTCCTTGGTTATTCCCCCACACAAAAGGGTTATTGTTGTTTTGATCCGAAGACTAGAACTCGATATGTATCAATGGATGTCACCTTTGATGAGCTCTCTTCTTTTTATGAATCTTCTCAAGAGAGGCATTATCCAAAAGGGGAGAATTTGTCACAGTTGTTTGCTCTCCCCCTTCCTGTCCCAATTGAGTCTTTTGTTGAGACTCTTCCTCCTTCAAATGAGTCAAGGGAGGATCAGTCATTTCATTCTGATTCCAGTGTTCTTATCCCTCCTCCTTTACCTCATTGATGTGGGCGCCGGCAGCAGCAGCAGTAGCAACAATTTAGTGTTCTCATCCTATCTTATCTATTTAGTATTCTTACCTTATCTGCTTTCAGTAGCAGGGATTAGTAGGAGTCTTATCTATTCAGTGTTCTTATCTTATCAGTTCAGTAGTATGGATTAGTAGGGAGTCTTATCTTATCTTATCAGTTCAGTAGGATAGATTAAGGGAGTCTTATCTTATCAGTAGGATGGATTAAGGAAGTCTTATCTTATCTTACCAATTCAGTCTTATCTTATCAGTTAATAGGATAGAGTAGTAGATTAGCAAGGAGTCCTAAAAGTAGGATTCTACCTCTTGTAATCTCCTATTTAAGGAGCTAATATTATTCAATAAAGG